AGCGATCCCAGATTACAAGAGGGATATCCGATTGGAGAGAATGCAGGCTGGGCTGAGGGAACAACCTCGTCCGTGCACAAATTTCATGCACCAGGCCACTAATCTATTATAATAAAAGCATAATATGCTAATTAAACCCAACAACCTTCCAGGCAAAGCCCAGACTTCAAGGGAATCCCAGGTCCTGAGTGCCTGCCAGCGACGGGAGGGAAGCCCAGGTCCCAGGTACCAGAAGGAAGCCAGTGCTGACAGCCAGGGGAAGGAAGGCCTACTCTTGCATGAATTTCATGCATCAGGCCTTTAGTATTGTAATAACTATGTACAGTGTCAGATGGGTGCGCAATTTATCAGGATGATCACTTAGTAAGTCATGTCTAATCACCAGGGTGTATACCTGAAACTAATGTAATAATGTATGTCAACTAGAATTGAAAAATAAAATTGCTTTTAAAAATTTAATTTGAGCTCTGGCTGGTTTGGTTCAGTGGATAGGGTGTTGGCTGTGGACCAAAGGGTCCTGGGTTCAATTCCAGTCATGGGCATGTACCTTGGTTACAGATTCCTCTCTGGTCAGAGGTCATGCAGAAGGCAACCAAAAGATGTGTTTCTCTCACATTAATGTTTCTCTCTGTCTTTCCATCTCTCCTATTCTCCCTAAAAATCAATAGAAAAATATCTCTGAGTAAGGATTAACAACAACAACAAAAATAAAATAAAATAAAATAAAATAAAATAAAATAAAATAAAATAAAATAAAATAAAATAATAATAATAATAATAATAATTTGAAGGGTTGGGCAAAAACATATTAGATACACAGAGAAAAACTAGCAGTGAAAATATTAACATTAAAAATATGTTGAAGACTTTTCAATAATTCTGCCTCAGCAAGCTGAAGGTTTTTCCAGCCATTTTTCAGCCATTTGCCTTCATCTTGAAAAACAGAACTTGGAAAACTACTCACTAGGAGTTCATGGCACAACAAGGCTTAGCTATTCCCTTTAAATAGTATATGTGACTTAATACACACCACAGAAAAGAACGTAAGACTTGGAGGTCCAAGTCTTTACATATGACATTTGGCCCTGGGGTCCTTGTTGTGCACTAACTTTTTTTTTGTCTTATCCCTTGGGGAACAGAGAACGTCTATCTTGCTGCCACAAATGAGGAAGGATACACATAATTACAATCAGAACAATTGGACCATCTCCTTGAAACTAAACAAAAGCAGGTGGGAACCAGAAGAGAGAAAAGAGGACAAAGCCTGACACTGGGGTTTGCCCACAAATCTCATTTCATCCATCCCTCCAAATCCGGCTTTCAGTGCAGGACGGGGAGCTCATGATAATGGAGAGCTGAGAAGAAGGTGGGGGGACACCCGATTACTATCTATCCCCACCCTGAATTGAAAACAAAGGGGCATGGATGATCCCTCTCTGCCAATGACACCTGCCTCTAAATTTCTGAGTCTCTCACTGTTTTATAAAATGCTCTTATTTATTAACTTTAGGACTGTGTAAAAAGAGGGGTTCCTCTTTTTATAAAGATCCTTTGCAATATGTTTTCCTAAGCACACATAATATGGAATTAATGGCCAAAGGTCAAAAGCATTAAATAAGCAACAAATGACACAGGGTGCAACGCACAAAGATAAGCTTGATAAAACTGCACACGTCAAACATAAAGGCTGAATTCATAAAGCTAGAACAAATACAAGTGGGGCTTGACTTAAAAAAAGATTACAGTGAGACTTTTTATATACTTCTCAGAATCAGACAGATAAATAAGCAAGGATAGAGGAAGATAAGCTCAAGTTAACAGAAAAATCTCAAGTGGTCTCCTACAGAGAATAGTCTTCTCTCATGTCCATGAACCTTTTAATATTAATCATGTAGTTGGCCACAAAAAAGATCTTAGTATAGCCCGATAAAGAGATTTTGCTGATCCCATTCACTAATCATCCTATATAATAAAAGGGTAATATGCAAATTGACCCTAATGGCAGAACGACCACTCGACCACTGGACCAGTCACAATGAAGAACCCGTGATGGTGGCAGGGGGGTGGGGGAGTGGGAGGGTGGAGCCAGGCCTAGGGACCATACCGGTGCACAAATTTCGTATGCTGGGCCTCTAGTAACCCAAAAAATGTAGCAGTTCACAATAAAATATGAACATACCATCCACCCCCACAAAACTAGTCAGAAATTCAAAACCCCATCTTATAAATAATCCTTGGATCAAAACTTATCTACACAATCATCATGGAAAGGTGAGCATTTCATGCAAAAGCCCATTAGCTACAGCTGCATTCAAAAGAAAATGTGGAGCTTTATAAATTAAAAGACTAAAAATAAATGAACCAATTTACAGTATATTGTAAAAGTAGAGCAACCAGAAGAAAGAAGGAATGAAGAAAGACAGAGGTTGAATTTAATGACCAGACATAAAATAGAAAGGATACAAAAAATTCTGGGTGCCTGCCGGTGACCAGAGGGAAGCCCGGCTCCTGGGTGCCAGAGGGAAACCCAGGTCCCAGGTGCCAGAGGGAAGCCAGTGCCAGCAGCCGGGGGTAGGAAGGACTACTCTTGAACGAATTTCGTGCATTGGGCCTCTAGTGTGCATCGGGCCAGCAGAGGGCAGTTGGGGGCGATCAGGCTGGAAGGGGAGCAGTTAGGTGTCAATCAGGCCGCAGGAATTGGGCCTAAACCGGTAGTCTGACATCTCCAAGGGGTCCCAGATTGGAGAGGGTGCAGGCCGAGCTTAGGGACACTCCCCTCCCCCCCATGTACAAATTTTGTGTACCTGGGGGCCTCTAGTGTATATATCGATATGTGTGTGTGTGTGTGTGTGTGTGTGTGTGTGTGTGTAGCCAGTTAGAATCAGTTAGAATCTAGTAAAGACATATTACAAGGTCTGTAATCTGTCCCTGACTTAGAAAAGTTAATATCTACTCCTTCTTATAAATACTAAATACATTCAATGACATCCCAATTAGGATCCTATAGGTTTTAAAAACTGTTCCAGGTTTTAAAAAGAGCCTCCTTGTATGCATATATTGCACGCAGACAGTGGGGGTAGAGAGGGCCTGGGGAGGGGGTGTGGGCAGGCTGGAGGGGGCCGATGGGGGGGAAAGGGGACATACGTATGTAATACTTGCAATAATGAAGAATTATTAAAAAAGAGTAACAGTCTCAATACCCATCAATAAGGGAAAAGCTTAGTAAACGATGGTACATCTGAACATTAAATATAGACCTGATACTGGCGTGGAAGAGTAGTAACCTGAAGTGACTGGTCACGATAAATTAATCAAAAGCACAAGCTGGAGTGCAGTATGTACATGAATCCACTTGGTGAAACAGGCAGTTTCACAGTGTGTCTGTGACAGGGAGAGAGGGGATCCTGACTGCAGGCCATCCACACAAACTTCTCAGGGGAAATGGGAGGAGAATGGGCTGAGGAACAAAAACAAACACCCCTCAAGGTGACCTCCAGCATCACCCAATCTTTCTCCTCCCCTTCAAAGCCCACATCTTCAGAGCTTGTCTATAGTTAGTAACCCCAGATCATCACCTCAGGCTAGGTCCCTACCCGTTCATTCCCTGAGCCTGCTGCTACTATCATCCCACAAAACAGCCCCAGAAAAGTGACCAGTCTCTTCCCACCACAGCTGTGGCCATTGCCAGAGGCTTCTGTGTGGGATGCTGTCCGGGTTTTCTTTCCTGCTCTTGAGCTGCTCTTTTTCTGGCTCCTTTACAGGGCATCCTCCTTGACTCAGCTGTTCTAGGCTGAGTTCCTCAATCTCACCATGTCTTCGACATAAGTTACAACCTAGACAAAAATGTCCCTCTCACCCAGACTCTTGAGCCCCAGACCCATCCACCTACTTGGTATTTCCAACACAACATGTCCCAAACTGAATTCATGATCTCCCCCATTCTCCAGACTAGTTCCCATCCAGTGTCTTCTAGATCCTGTGTCTCAGGGGAATGCAGGGAACAACCCAGGCTGGGTGAGGCTGGCCTCCGCTTTGGTGTACCCAGCATAGGGCTAGGCGAACAGTGGGTACTCATAATAAGGAGTTAGACAGAAACATGCCTGTCACCCACTTCCTAAAAATAGCCGTGACCTTTTAGGTAGACACATCAGGCTCACATCTACTATCACCAGCATGCACCCCACAGACACACCCTTTTCCCCACGATGCCACTCCCCCAGGCTTCATCTGCCATACACTCCCTACACCTCCCTGTTAACAGCCTCTGAATTTCTCTCTCCCTTCACTCTGATCGCTCTCATCTTGTTAGGGGCAAAAATAGAGTATTGGGAACTAGCTACGGTTGTGGGAAATATAATCATGCTCTGTTAACTCTGATTGCCTTGTTCTGGTTAAAGGACTTTCTAACCTGGCTGGGAGTTGTATGCCCCAGGGACCTGGGTATAAACCTTGGACTTTTTAATATTAATTATGTAGTTGGCCACAAAGGGGTCCATTCTCATTCAAGAACTGCCTATTTTCATGGAAAGATTAATTACTGTGGCCCAAATAATGGAGTCCCTATTTCTCGTTTTGCATACCCATTATTCCTGTTGCCTACTTCCCCATGTAATCTTTGTCCTGCCCAATATAAGCAGATGGCTTATGGGGGGTGCAGAGCAGATTTTTGTGGATGACCTGCTGCTCTCCCACACTGCTAGTGTTATTGGAATAAACACTCACATATGATTCAACCCTGTTTCTACTTAATTGCCTCAAGTAGTGGCAGGCAGGCGTGTCCAGTTTCAATTCCTCCCTCTGTTCTGTGAAGGCAGTGGGACCTTCAGGAGCACAAGCATCTGGCAGACCTGAGCGTGCCACTTCCAGCTTCAAGGTTCCTTGCAGTAACACACCCAAGGTATCACCACCCCCTAACTGAGCTCAAACCCCCTTTGCAAACATCTCACTGGATTCTGCAAACAACCATTTGAGGCAGGCATCTTACCATGCAGAACACAGAGTCTGTGTGGTTACATGGCTTGTGCCTGGTCATCTAACACAAATGAGCTGTCTCCTGACTCCTTGGTTACCCTCACTCCTTAAGTTCTCACATCAGTGTAGCATGGTCAGCTGTGATTCAAGTCACTGTTCTGGCTTTACTTTTAAGATTCTCACACCATGTGGCCTTTAATTTCGGGGTTAGGGTCAGTAGACTGAATGTATGGCTTCAGTAGTTATTGGATACAGTGGCCTGAAGCACAAATGAAGATTCGTGTAAGAATGGGGCTTCGTTCCCCTGGCTGCCAGCATCGCCCTCACTCTGGCTGGAGCAGCCTTTCTGCCTTCCCACGCTGCACAGAGGCCCTGAGCGGCTGGGATGGTATGGAACGCCTGTATCCAGCCCTGTCCCTGGCCACTAGGTGCCTGTGTATTCAAATTAACCCTTCCTCTTTTTGTGGGTTAATTTGCATACTCACTCCTGATTGGCTGGTGGGTGTCACAAAGGTATGGTCAATTAGCATGTTACTCTTTTATTAGGTAGACTAGAATTCACGAAATTTGTGCAAGAGTAGACTTTCCTTCCCCTGGCTGCTGGCACCTGCTTCTTTCTGGCACCAAGGACCCGGGCTTTCCTTGAAGCTCCTGGAAGGTCACCTGGAAGGACATCCGGAAGGATATCCAGTCTAATTAGCATATTATACTTTTATTATTATAGATAGGTAGAGAATGCCACTGAATTTCAGCAACTCCTTTTAAAAATGCAAATTCCTACCAAGGAAACTTCCATTTCTTCCTTTCACCTAGAGATGTCCTATGCAGGCAGCATTCAAATTCCTGATGTTCCAGGGAAATGAGATCAGAGGTGATGCAGAGAAAAATCCAGAGAAACCTGAGTCTATTTGGCTATGACTGTGACGCACACTCACATACAGATTCTCCCCAAAGTGTCCCTTGGAACCAAGTGCCAGGAACTGCTCCAGGCTTACAGGGAGATGATGGCAGCTAAGAGGGAGGAGAGAGGGAGAGCTCTAGGAAGGTCCAAGGGCCTCTGAACAAATTTCGTTTCTACATTCACCGCCTTCCCACACTGGCTTTCTCTCTCTCTCTCTCTCTCTCTCTCTCTCTCTCTTTATTCTACAGTGAATTCTCAAGAAGAGCCCACACTAACCTATTCTGGCTGTCTTCCCACCTTCATTCCAAACTACCCAGCCTCGTGAAAATCACGTGACCAAGGCACTCTCATCAATCTTGGCCTTCTAGGAACAGCAATCCAGGATGGGCCCTGTTTGTCACCCTTGCCCTGGCCTCATAAAGGAACTCAAAGGCCTTCCTACTTAGCCTCTCGAGCAGCTCCTACTGCCACCCCTCATTTCCATCTCCAGGTCTAACCCTGCTTCCCTGGCCTGCCTCTTTTACTCAACTGACATCTACTGAGCACCCACATTAGGAAGGCCCATCCTGGTGCGATGCGGCTCAGAGATTTGTAAGAAACACCCCTCAAACTCCAGAGACAAAGGATAGAGCAGAGGTGAGACCCGTGGCCATACCACGAAAGGCCAGTATCAGAAGTGGGTCAGTGCCAAAGGAGTGGAGGGGAGGAGGGTATAACAGCATGAGCGAAGGCAGAGGGACAGATCAGAAGAGCACTTCAACTTGGCTGGCCCTTCAACTGCATGAGGGAGTGACAGCTATTACTACTGCATTATCAGTGACACACAGAGATGATTACTTACGCACAAGGCCCTGCTATAAACTTTATGTCCAATCCGGGGGACATCCACCTGAGACACACACGTATGGTATGAGTCACCACCTATTTGGGTCAGTGCCTGAGCTGTGTGGGTTGTTAAATGCATTCATTCATTTATTCCTCACCGTCACTCTGTAAGGGAGGTATTGTTATCACCCCCATTTTAAAGATGAGGAAACCGATGTCTGAAGACTAGTTAATAAGAGACAAGATTAGGGAGGGATGCAGGAGCCTGAGGTGAGGCACCAATGCCAGGGCAACCACCTACCCTGGCACCTTACCTAACCACGCTAATCTGGGAACAGCTCACAGCACAGAAAGTGCCTGGAGGGAAGGGTACCCGTTAATCCTCCCGGAATTCCCAACAACTGACTCAAGAAAGGAAGGAAGGGACTTACTGAGAGCCAGTTAGGGGTGAGCGACTCCTGGGCTCAGACTGGCACTGCCCTGCAAGCTTTTGCTCCTGTTGTGTGGGCAGGGCAGGGGCTTACCCCTCACAGCGCCACGCCATGCCCGGGCCAGGGCAGGAGGGGACAAAGTGAAGGGCCTGGGGAGAGGACAGAGTAGCTAGCTACCTCAGTACCCAGGCTTGGTCCTCAGCACCCATCTCCACACAAAGGCACTGGCTGGTGATGGGCGGGGACAGAAAGGGCGCGGGCGCACAGCTTCCTGCTTGAGCTGGAACCGCCTGGCTTGGCGTCTGCCCTCCACGTCTCAGGGTGAAGAACTTCCTTCTCTACCTCAGACGCATGTCTACCTGGTGAAGCCTTCAGGGGCTGAGCTGGGGCCCCGGAGGAGATACAAGTCCACGAATCCCTCCCTGGAACTGTCGCCAAGGTTGGAGAAGGTGGAAAGGCGGGGGAGGCGAACACAGGTGAACACAGCACCCGCTCTTTCCAATAAAGTGCCTCACACATAAACTCCAGCAGCAGCTGGGAAACTCCCGGGAATCGGCGTCCTCCCGGTTCCGGGAGAGAGTTCCTGCAGGCAGCCTCCCCCACCCCCCAGCTCGCCGGGGCAGCCTTTCCCGGAAGGGCGCACGCACACCCAGAGCCCAGCTGGGTCAGAGGGGACGGGGACAGGCCCGCGGCCGCCCACCCCGGCCCGTCACCACCCGGCCCGTTACCACCCGACCCAGGACCACCCGGCCCAGGACCACCCGGTCGGTCCCACGCCGGCCCAGGCCGTCAGGAGCCCGGGCCTGGGGGCCACGAGGAGGAGAGTCCCCGCAGCTGACCGAGCCGAGGCAGCCCGTCCGGGACCGACCGGACACCGTCCTCCCCCTCCCCACCCCCCGCGGGCCAGCCGAGACCCTCACTCACCTGGCACCGGCCACCGGTGCGGAGCCGCGGGGGTGAGGGCGGTGCTCCGGTCGGGGTGAGTTCGGTTCTCCGTCCGCTCCGGCTCCCGGGGTTCTCGGCCGGCGGGCTCCGCAGCCGCAGGGCGGGGCGGAGGAGGGGCCAGCTCAGCGGAAAACTCTGGGGCGCCCGGGGCGGGGCCGCTGGTGCGGGGGCGGGGGCGGGGAGGGGCGTGGTCTGTGCGCGGCCCCGCCCTCAGGCGGGAGCCCTCGGGGCCCCCTGCGGGGAGGGCCTGTGGGCGTGGCCTCCGGGCGCCGAGGTCTGGGGGCGGGGGGGATCCCCCACCTCCGACAGAGCCGGGTCCCGCCCAGCGTCGCCCTCCCGGGGTGGGGATTTCCCAAATCCCCCCAGGCCAGGGCGCCACAGTTAGTGCCTCTCCAGGGTGACTGTGTACTTAGGGCGCACAGTGGTGCGGATATGGAAGGGTGGGACCGGGTCCCCCTACGAGGGAATGGGGCTTCGCTCCGGCGGCCCCAGGGGAAGGCGAGAGCTAATGCCCAAGTCCGGGCCCTAAATCCCTCCCGCTGCGGGGGGCCGGGGGGGGGGGGGGGGGGGGGGGGGGAGAGTGTTCACGGGATGGGAGGCGCAGAATGGGAGGCGCAGGACCGGAGCCAATAGCGCTCCTCGACCCGAAGGGCCGTGAGGACCAGGACTGGCTGTGCTCCTGCAGCTCCCGAATGGGCGGCACCGATTTTGTTTTTAAATATATATATTTTATTGGTTTTTTACAGAGAGGAAGGGAAAGGGATAGAAAGCTAGGAACACCGACCAGCCGCCTCCTGCACATCCCCCACCGGGGACGTGCCCGCAACCAATGTACATGCCCCGGACCTGAATCGAACCTGGGACCCTTCAGTCAGCAGGCTGACGCTCTATCCACTGAGCCAACCCGGTTTCGGCAATTGATTTTCACCTGCGCCTCATCCTCCCAGGAGGGCGTGTGAATGGCTGGAGGTTCAGAAACAAAACTTGCCAGCTACTATAGTTACAAACCTTGTGTACAGGATGATGTGATTGTGGCTCTGAAGAAAGCGATCGGTGATGCCACTTTGAAATGCGAACCCCTTGCTCTTGGCGGGCAGCATCTCCGGTTACAGGATGCACAGATTGGGCCTTCGGGGCTGAAACTGCCAGGAGCACAGAGGGCTTATTAAGCCACAGGGAAAATAGATGGTGACAAAGGAATAGATCTACTTCCTATTAAAGATAGCAAATAGAAAAATGGAGGAAAATAAGAAGAGAATTGAAAGGTTCCACAACATGCTTTGGAAAGAGAAACTTACATCCCAAAGAGAAAGTCAATGAGAAAAATAATTCATATTCTTGTTAGGGCATAAATAGAACACACACTGGGGACTGGCGTGGTTATAAAAAAATATCAGGCTTTGCAGACGCCGCCGCCCCGAAGCCGCTCCTCAGCCTTAGTGAACCCCAAGGTGTTCCTTGACATCAATGGTAATCCCCCCTGGGCGGCGTCTCCTCCCAGCTGTTTGCAGACAAAGTCCCAAGGACAGCAGAAAACTTCCATGCTCTGAGCGCTGGGGAGGAAGGATTTGGTTACAGGGTTCCTGCTTTCACAGAATTATTCCGGGATTTATGTGCCAGGGTGGCAACTCCACTCGCCATAATGACACAGGCAGAGAGTCCATCTATGGGGAGAAATCTGAGGGTGAGGACTTCATCCTGAAATATACAGGTCCTGGCATCTTGCCCTTGGCAATGCTGGACCTAACACAAACGGCTTCCAGTGCTTCATCTGCGCTGTCCAGCCCGAATAGGTGGGTGGCAAACAATGGTCTTCGCCAGGTGACAGAAGGCATGCATATTGTGACAGTCATGGGGCACGTTGGGTCTGGGAATGGCAAGACTAGCAAGACGATCACCATTGCTGACTGTGGACATCTCTAATAAATTTGACTTGTGTTTTATCCTAACCACCAGACCATTCCTTCTGTAGCTCAAGGAAGCACCCCGATTTGCTTGGAATCCTATCTAATAAAAGAGTAATATGCAGATTGACCATCACTCCAACACACAAGACGGCCACCACAAGATGGCAAGCAGGGGAGGGCAGAAGGGAGGGACCAGGCTTGCAAGGGAGGGCAGTTAGAGGCAATCAACCCTGCAGGGGAGGGCAGTTAGGAGTGGCCAGGCAGGTAGAGGAGGGAAGTTGAGAGCAAACAGGCTGGCAGGGGAGTGGTTAGGGGGGTGATCAGGCTGGCAGGCAGAAGTGGTTAGTGACAATCAGGAAGGCAGGCAGGTGAGCAGTTGGGAGCCAGCAGTCCTGGATTGTGAGAGGGATGTCCGACTGTCCGTTTAGGCCCTCTAAACGAGCAGTCGGACATCCCTCCAGGAGTCCAAGATTGGAGAGGGTGCAGGCTGGGCTGAGGGACACCATCCCCCTTCCCATGCACGAATTTCATGCACCGGACCTCTAGTGTTCTATAATCTTTGTGCTCTTGCCAGTTTATTGGGTTCCATAATTTCCTTACCCCTTCCCAGTCTAGCTGGATTGCAGAGTTAAGTTTATGATTATGAAATAAAAACTAAACAGTTAAAAAAAAGAAAAGAAATATTAAACATACTCTATTAACCATGGTTGTTTTGTTCTGATGAAAGAAAGCACATTCTAACCCAGCTGGGAGTTGTTCACCCCCAGGGCCTGGAAGTCAACCTTGGAATTCAGCCTATTATCCTATTATCATGGAAAGATTAACCACCCTATTGCTTAAACAATGGCCTCCTGCCCTCAAGCCTGTAACCTGTAACAATCATACCCATTTTTATTCCTTTTGTCTACTTCATGTCATCTTTGTCTTACCCAAAGAAAGCAACTGGTTTATGGGGCGGGGAGAGGGGGGGTAGGGGAAGGGGGTGCAGAGCAAAATTTCATGGAGGACCTGCTGCTCTCCCACACTGCCGGCATTATTGGAATAAATGCTCATCTATGACTCAACCCCATCTCTGCTTAATTGGCTCAAGTAGTGATGGGCAGCCCAGTTTCATTCTCATAAGTAAGAAAATGAAAAACAGCACAAGGCAAACATACTACTAATAAATTATAAAGAACTTGAAAATGATGATCCAGGAAGGGTATTACTATCATCCCTGAAGATTACCTTTTAAAAATAGCTGTGTATGTTTCCTCATTAAGTGCCATATTTTTCCATGTATAAGACACTTTTTTTCTAAAGCCATTTGACAGAAAATTGAGGATCGTCTTCTACACAGAAGTCAGCCTAGGAGGGAGCCACATGGGTACATAGCTGCCCATACCTCATCAGACAAGCTTGATCTTATTGTTACTGATCCAATCATGAGCCTTATTGTTACTGATGTCCCGCCTGCCGGTCACGCCACAGATTGGCCCTGATCACTGGCCAGGCTAGGGTCCCTACCGTATGTATTGGAAACAGTCTCTTATATTTAAAAATTAAATCCTGGCAAGGCTACTCTAACACTGAAAAAACAATGATGACATGCATGGACTCTGGCCTGCACATTTTGTGGTCAGCCCTGATTCTGACACTTACACCTGTGTGGCAAAGCCAATTACTTAACTTCTCTCTGCTTCAGTTTTTCCACCCATAAGGTGGAGAAATGGTACTACTACCTTAGAAGGATCATGTTATGTACTACTTTTTATATAACCAGGGCAAAAAAATGTAGCTGCCCATACAATAGCAAGATGCCTTTCACTTCTATGAGAAGATGGTGCATGCAGCGTCCTGGATTATGAGAGGGATGTCCAACTGCCGGTTTAGGTCCAACATCCCCCAAGGGGTCCCAGATTGCGAGAGGACGCAGGCCAAGCTAAGGGACAACCCTCCCCCCTCCCTCCCGCGCAAGAATTTCATGTACTGGGCCTCTAGTATTCTCTAAAATACCTAATTGGTAGTCCTTAAAGCTGTGAAAGTCATAAAAAATAAGGAAAGTCTAAGACATAGCTCTGTCTCAGCCAAAAGAAAACTAAGGAGATGTGAAAATGAAATCTAATGTGGTATACTGGATGGGCTCCTGGAAAAAGGACATTTTGTCCTATAATTTAAAAAAAAAAATGTTTTTATACTGAGATCCACTCTTTAGTCCCTCAACCCACTTTTTAGGTGTGCACTTGCAGATCTTTCTGCAGCACATTCTATGCATATACAGGGTGTCCCCAAAAATGTATACACAAGTTAACAGCTGATAGCTCAATTTTGGAAATGAAATGTATTTTAATAAATATTGCCTTTATAATTACTCACAGTGTGTATATTCAGTTTGTTGGGACACCCTATATATTGTGTGTGCATATTCACGTAGATATATTATTCACAGAGCGGCCTTGCAGTATTTCTCTGCCACGGGCATTTTACACTCTATCTTGGAGGGTCTTTCCGTGCAAGCAGAGCCGGACCAACTTGTTTCTTCCTAGTGACCGCACAGTATGGGTCATCGTGCGCATCACCATTCCTTATCACCTAGTCCCTACGGGAGGACATTCAAGTTGTTGGCTATTTTAGGCTCTTACCAGTAAAGCAGTGCTGCAGGCCCCATTTGCCCTTATACAGCTGGCTGAGCAGGAAGGACTGGAAGCGGCCGGCTGAAGGGGAAGGCTCTGGCCTCTGCTTTGTCCTGGCAGGAGTGCAGGTACTGGGGAGCCGCGCCCTCTGGGCAGCTAGCCAGAGCCTGTGAGGAGCCCTGGGGACCCAGTCATCTGCCACAGCCTCTCCAACAACCCCTCCTCCCCCAAGGCGTGGCTCCTGTTCCAGCCTGGGCTGCATTTTTTGGAGATGACTGGGCCAGTGAGGGCTCAACTGAGGCCAAAGATTCCAGAACAACTTAGAGAACACAGCAGTCATGGGGGGGGGGAGGTGCAGTGGCCAGGTAAGTATAGTAGCTGGCCGGACTAGCAGGGCCTGTGGGAGGCCCCCATCTAACCATCCAACCCACAGCATTAGAGGGAACATTTATCTATCTCCCCACACACTCCCCCCACACTCTAGCGAAGGGAGAGGGGAGGATTGGTCTGTGAAGGCCACCTGGCACCCACCCAGCCCCTCTGCCTGGACACCCTGCACCACCCACCCACAACCCCCACTGCTGTCGCAACCACTAAGGCGAGCTTCTCTGAATGACTCCATTTTTACATCCGAGTGAGTGGTTTTTGAATGACCAGGTCATTTAGGGTGGAATTCCTCTGTATGTAGCACACACTTTCCTGCCTCAGAACTGAGCTCTAACTATACCTACTGCCCCTCCCCCTTTCCCCCCAGTGACTGCTGTGTTCTCTAGGCTGTTCTGGAATCTTTGGCCTCAGTTTAGCCCTCACTCGCCCACTCATCTTCAAAAAATGCAGAGGATTATTAGAGTGGGGGCTAAAAAAGATACTTTCCCTCTCACTTTGTATGTTCTGGCTGGGCTAATTAAATTAACAGAGATATTAACAAGAGAAAAATCAAAGTTTCAAAACAGGCCCCTGGGGAATTCATATAGGCATGGAAATTCCACCGGCAGTGAGGCATCTTGGGAAAGGACGTTTTGGAAAAAGGAGAATGCAAGGGGACAGGGTGTTTAGATTTCAGGAGTGAGAGTGAGTGATTTGCAGGTAGCTGCAGGTGCCTCTCTCACATCAATGTTTCTCTCTTTGTCTCTCCCCCTCCTTTCCACTCTCTCTAAAAATCAAAGGGGAAATATCCTCCGGTAGAATTAACAATAAAAATAAAATTAGCCCTGGTTTGGCTCAGTGGCTAGAGTGTCAGTCTGTGAACCAAAGAGTCCCAGGTTCCATTCTGGTTGGGTTCATGAACCTTGGTTGTAGGCTCCTCCTCGTTAAGGCCTGGCTGGGGCACATTCTGAAGTGGCCAATCAACGTGTTTCTCTCATATCGATGTTTCTCTCTGTCTTTCCCTCTCTCTTCCACTTTCCCTAAAAATCAATGGAAAAATATCCTGGGGTGAGGATTAACAAAAAACAACAACAAACATTAAATGAGGCTCAACGAAATTATTGAACAGGCTATCTCTTTTTAAAAAATATATATATTTTATTGATTTTTCATAGAGAGGAGGAGAGAGGGATAGAGAGCTAGAAACGTCGATGAGAGAGAATCATCAACCAGCTGCCCCTTGCACACTCCCTACTGGGGATGTTGCCCGCAACCAATGTACATGCCCTTGACCGGAATTGAACCTGGGACCTTTCAGTCCACAGACCAATGCTCTACCACTGAGCCAAACCGGTTTCGGCAGGCTCTCCCTTTTTAATTATTTTTATTTTTTTAGACAAACAAATTTGTGGGAACCTGACAGTAGAAAGTGCTCAATCAAAAGGAATCTAAGCAAAGTTTGTATACTTATTAGTGAGGAATCTAAACAATGTTTGGTCTAGGGCAGTGGTCGGCAAACCGAGGATCATCTCTTTGGCCCCTTGAGTGTGGCTCAGCATTAGAACCACTTCTTCAAAATAGACTCCTCCAGGCCGAAAACTGACTTCTGCGCATGGGCCACGAAGTTTCAATTGCACTGTACATGCGTGCCTGTGGTATTTTGTAGAAGAGCCACACTCAAGGGGCCAAAGAGCCGCATGTGGCTGTTGAGCCACGGTTTGCCAACCACTGGTCTAGAGTAGTAAAGGAGTAACAGGGTATAGTTATACACATTTTTTGGCTCTGGATTATTTTTATAAATTTTAAAATCGATTTTAGAAAGAGGAAGGGAGAGAGAGAGAGAGAGAGAGAGAGAGAGAGAGAGAGAGAGATTGATTTGTTGTTCCACTTACCTATGCATTCACTGGTTGATTCTTATATGTGCCCTGACTGGGGATCAAACCCGAAACCTTGATGTCACTCTAACCAAATGAGCTCCTGGCCAGGGCATGGACTTTCTGTTTCTTGTGATAAGGTTGTTTCTCAGTCCTTCAGGAACAAGTAAATCTATCATGGTGATTTATGTCCAGCTTTAAGGGGGACAGAGGAAAGTCAGAGAACTCCTTCTGCATTGGTGCTTCTTAGGTGATTTTAATTAGAAAAGTATGCCATTGTGGAATATGTTGGGCCCCCACACGTGAAATGAGAAAGGAAAGGTAGGTGCCTTATGCAAAGACCATGTGCTGTAGAGCTCTGACTAGCACAGTACCAGAATGTTTCCTACGTTGGCTTCTTCAGCAGCAACGGGTAAGCACAGCCAATGAGACTGGCCCTGTGCCTGGTGCCACTGACAGGGGCGCAGAGGAACCCTCTCTTGTCTAAATAAAGGTCTTGGTCTAATGGAAGAACAAATCGTAAATACCTCACCTAAAAGAGTCTTGCAAAGGGTCCCTGGTGTCAATGAGAAGCCGGTGAGAGGATCTTATTCAGAAAGGCTTGCCAGACTTTGCAAAAAAGTGACTTTTAATTTTTAAAATTATGTTAAACCTTTTTGTTTTTTTAATTGTTTATTGCTTTAATTTCTGCTTTTGTCTTTGAGTTCTGTTCCTTCTAAAACTTTCTTTGGGTTTCTCCTGGTGTTCTTTTTCTAGTTTTTAGAGTTGAATATTAGGGGCATTTATTTTCAAATTTATTTGTTGTTGTTTTCTAGTTTAGGGGTGTCGAACTCAATCAGAGAAGGGGCCAAAATCTAAAATCCAGCCTAAATCGCGGGCCGAATGGTTTACTGAACAGTCATAAACTGTCATTGTGATGGAAACGCAGCGGAGTGCAGTGATGACAGCGCGGTGCGGGCCACATTGCAAGGCCTGGCGGGACGGATTTGGCCCGCGGGCCTTGTGTTTGACACATGTGTTCTAGTAGATGTGTACAAGACTATAATCATCCTTATAAATCCTGCTTTAGCTACATAGCACAAA